TTTCTTTAGTCTCATATGCAACGTTGTTGAGAGCACATTGATCGAATATGAATTGTACTTGTTGTGAAGCATATTTTTTGTCACTTTTCACTTATTTTGTTTAAATAAAAAAATTTTCCAGAAAAAGTTAAGAAATCTTTCCATGGCTTCGCGAAAAGTAAAAATTGTTGCTTGGATTCTTCCAAAAATTTCGCTTAACTTCATAAAGCGGTGCAAGGGCAGTAGCAAAAAGAATACCCTGGGAAATCTCGTTGCTTTCCAAAACGGACGCTCTTGCCCACGTGGTTCCCACGCACGAGCTCATGAAAGTTTTTGGCGGGTAAGTTGCTAACTCGCGGACCAGAAAAGCTGGAAAGCTAAAATTTTAGGGGAATATTTTTTGATAGTCTTGGTGGCTAGTCTCAATTCTTTTAGCCAGAAGCATCTGCTGCTGCTGCTGCAAAAAAAAACAGTGCCGTTAGCGACAAAAAGTTCGGACTACAAAGTTGGCTTTTGTAATCTGACTCTAGATTCTTCCACAAACTTCGCTAAGCTTCATATGTGGTGCGCTAGGGGCAGTCGTACAAAGAGTTCCCTGAAAAATCTTGGTGCTTTTGTAGTTCACAAACAACAGAACAACAATGCTTCTTCGTTTATTCTGGTGCGATACACTAATTTGCGAATATGCGAAATCGCCGGGTCTCCCCCTGCAACGCTTCTTTTTCCCGGACACGGCTTCCCCAATGCTTCTGCTGCTGCTGTGCGATTGGTTTTTCACTCGAATGCAGTGTAAAAGAATGCGGCTGAGAAAATAGTGAAGGACACCAACGCGCCAACCACGGCGCATAACACTGCGATGAACAGAAACTTCATATCTGAAATTCCATAACCAATTTAACCGTCATACTGACGAGGTCCAGTCGTGGTGTTGAGCTAAGACGTATATGACTTAATGGACCGAAACGTCTCAACTCATTCACACTCAGTTCTTTCACATTACCTCTAATTTCTACATTCATCCATACATAGGTCATTCAATGCCTACCCTCGCTAAGTTCTTAACATTAATTGCATGCTACAATCAGCTTAACATCCACAAAACTACTTAACCGTAACAACAAAACTGCAGCAGAATTCGCACATAGCATGCATGACCATTCGCTTTTTGGGAACGCGAAAATCAACGCACCAACTGCCGATGCGAAGATGCGTTTTTTGCATACTTCCCCGTAGATTTTTATCGCAAACATTTTCCGACAGATGCTTCTAGCTAAGAGAATTGAGACTGGCCAGCAAGACTGTCAGGAAACATCCCCTAAAAATTTCGGCTTTCTAGCTTTCCTGGTTCCCGAGTTAGCAAATTACCCGCAAAAAAAATTCACGGGCCCATACGTGGGAACCATGCATACCGCGTTGCTGGATTTGAAGTGATTAATACCAACTTAGAAAGGGAATATCCCCTTAGTACATTGTGACCCTCTGGCGTCGCGTACGTTTGCTCTTTGCTGTTGAATTTATCAAACCTCAAGTACTTCATTTCACCCCATACTTCAGAACGACGCCACAACCAGAACTGCCGATGAAGCGCACGAAGGCCGATAATCACATCACACGCGTTGGTCTTTTATGCATGTTTACCCCTTACTAACTGTTTTTTCCTTCTAACACTTCCCCGCTTTTTCCTCCTCTCAAACTTTGCATCCTTTAATCTCCTGTTACCTCCACTCCCCTCTTTACCTCTTCTCCTACCTTACTTATATGTTATCAGCTTTTCCATATGGAGGATTGGGGGTTGCACTGATGATTCCCACTCCAATTCACACCGAATAGTGTCTGTATTTGCAGATTAGGAATGAAACAAAGGCAGCCAAGCTTACATTCAGCCTTCACATAGGTCCTCATTACATCTCTTCACAAAATATGTTGTTTCACTATCTCTTTTCACTTTTTGTTTTCTTGGTGTTTCCTTTCATTCCATTAAAATTTCAACCTTCCAGCTTTTCTAATTCCCAAGCTAGCAATTTCCCCGCTGGAACTTTCATTTGCTCGTACTCGGATCCAGACATGCGTGGAGGTTAGTATCGCAGCCTGGGATGAGTGGCAAAATTTTAATGTCGGGGCCTGCTTGGTTGCCAAGTTAAAATACCCGGACAGACACACACAGACACACACATACACACAAACAAAAACAAACAGACACGCGCACACGAGGGTTGTCAGAATATGCGTTTTTGCATTTGCACATGTGCAAAAACGCATAATAGCCGCATTCCAGTTTATATACCGCTCCATTGTAATGTAACATAGCAAAGACAAATTACCTGCAGCAGGCACTTAATAAACATAAAATAAACTGAATTTTGGATTTTTTTACAATATTGTACCTTTATTTTTAGCAAAACTTTACTTTTTCTCGGTT